TCTTCGTACCACCCTCTGAATTCGGAATCGGATCGCCACATCTTATTCGAAGCCTAGAAAGCGCTCTGAGCGCCGCCCAAGGGAATCGGAACACTGTTGTCTTTGTTAATAATGGGCATACTGGAGGGGATATCGAACAGGTCATCAATAATGTCTCTTCCACAATTCGATCTGCGGGGAAGATAGTGGAGGTTGTTGAACAAGATGTAGACCTGCTTACAACTTGCGCAAGCTCGTTGCGAGGAGCGAGTACGTGTTTCGGGGCTATCAATTTCCACTCCTCGCCGACTGAGGGAGAGGGACGCGGCTGGAACTATACTGTCAGGGCAGATGGCGCGTTTGGAGAACGGATATTCGTCGATCGCACGAACAACGATGTTGAAATCTATGTTCTCCCATTCCAGCATGCAATTGACACCGCGATCGGATCTCTGAACGGAACAAATGTACCCCAAGAAATTCAAGAATACCCTTACACGGATCAGACTGCGGAGGAACGCGATGAAGAGATTCGCCATCTGTATATGGGCGCGTTGATAAATATCCTGGCTGTGGCTTTCTATATCGGTATTTGTGGGACTACATACCAGCTCACAGGACAAATGGCATCGGAACGAGAAGCCGGAATCTCACAACTTGTCGAGGCCATGACGCCGGCGAAGAAGCCCTGGCAGATACAAGCAGCCCGTCTTTTATCAAATCATTTGGCCTTCGACATAATCTACTTCCCGGGATGGATTCTCATGGCTATCATCATTGCGCGGCTCGCCTTTCCGACGACGAGCGTCGGCATTCTCATCATTTTCCACATCCTGGCTGGTCTCGCACTATCTAGCTTTTCTATCTTCGGAGCTAGCTTCTTCCACAAGGCGCAGCTTTCTGGCATCACGATCACAATCGGCGCCATTGTGCTTGCGATCATAGCTCAAGTTGCCGGACCTTTCAGCACAGGCGCTGTGGCTGTGACAAGTCTTCTCTTTCCACCGATGAATTACACGTTCTTCATCATCTGGATTGCGCGTTTCGAAAGGACATCGCGAGCTGCTAATCTAGTAGATGGAGCGCCTGAAAGCCCCTGGGCACTTCCCGGCATTGCATTTTGGATCTTTCTCATTGTCCAAACCCTTGTCTACCCACTGTTGGGCGCGGTAGTCGAAAGATGGCTGTATGGAACCGTCTCCAAAGAACGTAAATTGACTACTTCATCTCCTGACCACTCTATAATTTTATCCACATTCTCTAAACATTGGACTCCGAGTTGGCTCCGCGCAAATGTTTTGTCGAAGTTTGGAATCAAGCCTCCGGAGACTGTGATCGCCGTCAACGATCTCAGCATCAAAGCACGTAAAGGGCAGATCATGGTGCTCCTTGGAGCAAATGGCAGCGGCAAATCAACTACATTGGACGCGATCGCAGGGCTGAACACCATCACAAACGGCTCTATTGAAATCGATGGCACAGGTGGTTTAGGCCTTTGCCCACAGAAGAATGTTATGTGGGATGAACTCACTGTCTTCGAGCACGTTCAGATCTTCAATCGCCTCAAATCTTCTGGCAAGATGGACAATAAGCAGGCAATCAAAGAACTTATCCGAGCATGCGACTTGGGTCACAAGATGCACGCCAGGTCCAGCACACTCTCTGGTGGCCAAAAACGAAAACTGCAACTTGCGATGATGTTTACAGGAGGTAGCCGTGTCTGCTGCGTCGATGAAGTGTCATCTGGTCTCGACCCATTGTCCCGAAGAAAGATCTGGGACATCTTGCTTGCTGAACGTGGCGAGCGAACTTTTCTTTTGACTACGCACTTCCTTGATGAAGCGGATGTTCTGTCTGACTACATTGCGATTCTTTCGAAAGGCAACCTTAAGAGCAAGGGAACATCTGTGCAGCTTAAGCACCAGGTGGGTGCTGGATACCACATCACCGTCCCGAAAAGTGAGAAGTTCAGGCCCGTCGGAGGTGTTCGGAAGACGTCTGCGGACGATAAGGATGTTTATTGGTTTCCCGCCGCTGTGGAAGCAACAAAATTCATTACCCAGCTCCGGGAGAAACATGTCAAGGATTACGATATTGTCGGGCCGACTCTCGAAGATGTTTTCCTTGCATTGGCTGAAGAAGTAAGAGAAAACAAGTTGGAAATTGATGCTCTGCCTGCGGCGGATGACGCTCCACTCAAGGACCACGATACACCGCCTTCTCCAGACGCATCATCTGATGTCGACAAAAGTCTCCAGATGTCGAAAGGCAAGGGTACGAACATGCCGAAGCAGACCATCATTCTCGTTAAAAAGCGCTTAACTATCTTGCGCCGAAACTGGCTACCCTATGCCGCTGCCGCACTTCTGCCAATCATCACGGCTGGCATGGTCACGCTATTTCTGAAAGGCTTCAATGCGGTAGGATGCAATCCTGGAGACCAAGCCAACAATCCCAGAGTCTTCTCGCTGTCATCCGTTACAGTGACGCCGCACATTGTTATCGGACCTCCTGATCTTGTAGATTTAGACCTCCTAGCCGGGCGCTCTGGTCTGAATACCTCAAACTTCCACATCGTGAACAGTCTCAATGAGTTCAACGACTACATCGACAGGAATTTCCGTAATGTCACTCCAGGTGGCTTCTTCCTGCAACCCAATCAGCCTCCCATCATGGCGTACGTTGGGAATAACAACATTCTTGGAGGACTCATTACGCTTAATGCTCTCTCGAACGTCCTCACCAGCATCCCGATCACCACTGCCTACCAAGCCTTCGCCGTCCCATTCGCGCCAGGCGCTGGCAAGACGCTGCAGCTGATCTTGTATTTCGGACTGGCAATGTCTGTCTACCCTGCTTTCTTCGCATTATACCCCACAGTCGAACGATTGCGGAAAGTGCGTGCTTTGCATTACAGTAACGGAATCCGTGCGGCTCCACTCTGGCTTGCATACCTGACATTTGACTTTTTCTTTGTTCTGGTGGTCAGCGCTGTTGTTACTGGGATATTCGTCGGTGTAAGTACCTGATTCCTTATTTGCGATTGCGAAGGTTCTAATGCGAGGCAGGTATCAGGCGTCTGGTACGCCCCGGGCTACCTCTTTGTCGTCTTCTTCCTCTACGGCCTCACCTCTACCCTGCTCTGTTACGTGATTTCACTGGTTGTAACGTCTCAACTCGCCACGTTCGCATTCGCAGCCGGTGGGCAAGCATGTTTCTTCCTGATATACTTCATTATGTACATATCCATCCTAACATACTCCCCCGCCTACCGTATCAACAGCGACCTAACAATATCCCACTTCGTCTACGCCACCATAACTCCGGCCGGAAACCTGCTTCGCACGCTCCTCCTCACCTTAAATGAATTTTCGCTTCTCTGCCGCGACACCTCAATTGCTTCATATCCTGGCGCACTCTCCGTTTACGGCGGGCCCATCTTGTATCTCATAATTCAAGCTATTGTCCTGTTTATAACGCTTGTCTGGTGGGACTCTGGCTACAAACCTGCCTTCCTAACCCGCACAACAAAACACAATACTTCCGACACCGAAGATGTGGATTCCATTGACCCAGCCGTCTTCGAAGAAGTACGCCGAGTTGAAAGTTCAAACGATTCCCTCCGTGTCCTACATCTCCATAAATCCTTCGGCAAAAATCACGCCGTGAACGACATCTCCTTCGGCATACCCCAAGGCCAAGTCTTCGCTTTGCTCGGTCCCAACGGCGCCGGGAAATCCTCCACAATTTCTTTAATCCGAGGAGACATCCGTCCCTCCCGTGGCGGCGGCGACGTTCTTATCGAAGGATTAAGCGTAATGGCCAAGCGCGCCGCGGCTCGCGGCCATCTGGGCGTGTGTCCGCAATTCGATGCCATGGACAGCATGACTGTTCGCGAGCACCTCTCCTTTTACGCCCGCGCAAGAGGGGTCCAGGATGTTGAGGGGAACATTCAAGCGATATTGGCGGCGACGGGGTTGGTGAGGTTTAAGGATCGGTTGGCGCATAAACTTTCTGGGGGCAACAAGCGCAAACTCTCGCTTGGCATTGCTTTGATGGGCAACCCCTCCGTCTTGCTTCTCGATGAACCAAGCTCAGGTATGGACGCAGCGGCTAAGCGAGTAATGTGGAGGACCTTGCTTGGCGTCGCTGCTCCTGGTCGTGCGCTCCTTATTACGACTCATTCGATGGAAGAGGCCGACAAACTGGCAACGCGCGTTGGTATCATGAAACGAAAGATGTTGGCATTGGGGACCGTTGGAGACCTTGGGGATAGGTACGGAGACGCGTATATTGTTCAACTTGTGTTGAATAGTGCGCCAGAGACGACCGAGGAGGAGATGGAAGGTGTCAAGACGTGGGTCAAGAGCAGGATACCGGGGGTTCGGCTTGATCGATGGGGTTCGAAAGGAGGTAGCCATGGACAATTACGATTCCACGTCTTCAAGAAGGCTTCGTCTAGTCTGCCGGTTCGGGATTCAGAGAAGGTGGCGGATAGTGAAATCCACGAGATTGAATCACATCACTCTAGCAGCGATGGGAAGGATGTCGGAGGTATTGCAGGGCTCGTCCAGCTTCTAGAAGAATATAGGGAGGTGCTGGGATTGGAATACTACTCCGTCTCCCCTACGACATTGGATGAAGTCTTCCTGAGAGTTGTAGGCGAGGAGGAAGAGGAAGATGGGAAGGACAAGAAACGATTTAAAATCGGGAAGTGGGGGTTTTGAACTGGGTATTAAAAGTATAACGGAATGAATAGATAATAGATATTTGCATCTCCTGCACCCTACTCTCCCTCACCGGACATTTGGTTGCTAAACCTCTCCCCGCTCGAGGTGCTGTCACTGAAGAAAGCATCAGCAACACTTTCCTTTCCTCCTCCCCTCCCCCTCATCATCAAAAAGTAATCCCAGACCCTTTTAAAATAACCAAGGAAAAATATTAACTTGTTATTAGCATCCAGGGCTAAAACGGCATGCCAGCTTGTTCCGCCTGAGGTCTGGACCAGTAGGCACCCCGAATGGCGGTGGATAGAATCGAACCGTCGCCTCAGTGCTCTTGCTCGCTGCGTGCTTAGCACTGCGCTACATCACCTGGAAATTTGATCATTGAAGACTACGAGAATTTAGTTAAATAAATAGCCGGGGTATTGGTGGAGTAGATACTTCAGGGTGGGTGAGTCGGTGATGTTAGATGGGGAGAAATGGGTAGTTACGGTCCAAGGCCACAGCCTTTCCCAAGTGGGCAGCCATGGAAATTCAGACTCCCATCCGCATCTATAACGACGCGCTTTTAAACGGATGGAGGCTGCTCCATTGAATCCCCGGCATATATGCGACAAAAGCTTGGCAGGATCCGTCATCCTGACAATGCATCCTAGATGGCTTCAAAGTGATAAGCAACAGCGAGACGAAGCCAATGCTAACCCCCAGTATTGCGACTCAGAAGATTCAAATGCACGACCTGATCCTAAGGGCTGGAGACACCCAGTGGAGGAACACGCTTCTGATTCCGCAAAACCAATTGAGCTCCTCCGGGCATCGGATGATGATATCGATACCATCGCTGCCACTGATAACCTTACTATTGGGTATTATATGCCGTACGTAATGGTCGAAGTCTCAAACGGCATCTGTTATACTTCGCACGCCCTAATCACTCACAACACTATCCAAATCTTCGTCCTCATAACACCACAAGACGGCCTCCTACCCACGGATTCCGCGATCTTACCTTTGGACATGGCGCTCGAATATACTCTCTTCGGCTTCAATCAGCGATCCCTAGACGCTCTCATCCCCTACTTACACTCCCGCTCTTGCTCCTCGGAAGACGACAACCCATTCAATGACCACCCCGTCCCCGAAACCCTTTCAACGCATCTCAGCCTCGACTTCACCATCTCTGAGGACTTCGACGGCTACAATGGAATCCAGAAGATCGTTACAAGTAACTGGATTTTTGTTAACACCTCACGATTCTTAGATTGTCCTAGCAGCAGATCCGACGAATCACGCTGATCTCACGCTCGCGTATACAGATCCAGCCGCCCTGCTACACCGCTCAGATGTTTGTATCTGCAGACCTGAGAACTTAATGCCAAAGGGAACGTACTCGCTTCCGCGCGTGCTGGTCGAACTCTTCTACATCGTTCAGGATGTGGTGATGTGGAGACAAGGAAGTTGGGCGGCGCTCTGGAATTTGGTTATGGGGATGCTGTTGTGGGGATTGTGTTTTAAGGAGATGTGGGAGGTCAGGGATCCGGTGCCGTGCATCGTGGAGTACTGCGTCGGACAGCCTATTAAAGCTATGGTGTGGATGTGGGAGGTTGAGTACTTCAGCTGGATGCGGTGGATAAAGAAGGCGTTGGGGTGGATGAAGAAGGGCTGGGAAGGATGAGGGATTTTGAGGAGAGGAAGGAAGAGCGATTGAAGGGGATAGATGGGACGGTTAATGAGACTGTTGAGACGGACGCACGGAATTTTCAGTCGGCAAGGGAAGAGTCCTGACCGTGGTGTCTTTGGGGAGCTGGGAGTGGAGCTTGGCCAGCGATGATTGATGGGGAGTCGAATGGGTGAGAATTAGACAGATATATATATTAATGATTGCCTACACTTCAAGTCCATAGGACTGGAATACTACAGATATTGTACAAAGATCCACCGCGGTCGGCGCTGCCAATGGGATCCGCGACGCGAAGATCAAGATACTTCATTTAGAAGCCAATCCATACGTCGCTCAGTATCATTGACTTACCCTCTCATCTAACGTATGTCATCCGGGGCTGTTGGCAGCCTGCTGGAGCAGACGTGGAACCAGCAACCCTCCAACCGCTGTGCTGCATGGAGTGCTCAGATTGCAAGCTCAGAGTACTCATGGTGAAATTCCGTTAGATAGAAATTATCTGTCCCGAGATGGTGGCGGGGAATGCAAAAGTAGCGCGCAATTCCAGACGTAGTTCGATTGAAGCTCTTTCGCAGCTCGGTTTCGAGAAGGTCGGCATACAGAACAGCTACGAGTTCACTCCGCCATACTTTCCAGCTTCGTTGGCGGCCCATTCCTCCCAATGCTAGCCAAATCCCGTTGCAGAATTCGCAGATGGTTCTGTCGGTTTTGATTGCCCGTCCACGTGACGGCTTGTGAATACCACAGGATGTCCCACGCGTCATCTGGGATATTCTTGAGTAGGGTAGGAATTGGTCTCGCCTTGATGTACGCCCTCCATAGGATCCTTCGGATATCATCATTGGCGCCGAGGTAGGCATACTTGAGAGCTTGGTTCAGTGCGCGGAGGTGGGGAGAGATGTTGTAGGGCGGGAGGAGGCTGATTCGGAGACGCCGGAGAGCGACGATATGTTCGGGATCATTTTCTGCGATCTTGAGTTGTTGTTCCAATGTTGTTGTTTCAGAGGAGGCGAGCTGGGATGGATCGGGTGCCGAGTTCGAAGTTTGTGTGATGCCTGCCTGTTGCTTGGTAATAAGATCTTTGATGAGGGCAAGCTTCTCCATGAGCTTCGGGTCTTGCATGATCTTGTCGACCTTGGCTTCGAGTTCTGGATCGACCGACTCGTCGACTTTTTCTGCAGAATTTTCTTGTCGGAATTTGTCGATTTCCTTTGCGAGGGTTTCGAACTTGACACCTTGTTCGAGTTCTTCTTCTATCTCCTTCGTAGGATCCTCGTTGCGAACTCTTTCCAGCTCCGCCTCGATCTCAGAGTCGCCACCCATGGCTTTCAGAAGCTCCTGCATCTCCTTCAACAGCGGCTCAATCTCCATGTCCGGCTCAACTCTCTCCATTTCGGTCTCAACACTCTCCACTTCAGACTTCCCAGCGGGGATGATCTCATCCGGTGGCCTGGACTTCTCCTTATCTACCCGCATCGCTGCCAGCTTCTTCTGAAACACTTCGTTCCCTTCCAACTTCTTGTCCAGCCTTGCCATTGCCGCCTCAAGCTCTGGGTCACCATCGCCATTCCACTCGGGCAACTTGCCCTGTATCTCCAACAGCTCCGCCTTGCAGTTCGCAAAACCCGGATCATTAATCATCTCTTGAATCATCTCATGAGAGGCCATCATCTCCGTAGCTGCGACCTCCTTGACCTCGCCCTCCATCGCTTTCTCTATCTCCTCCGTCTCGGCGCTGTTCTTGCGTGCCTCGTTGAGCTGCTTCATGGCCATCAGACCTTCCTGCAAGTCGGCAAAATTCGGATTCTGCATCAGCTCATCTAACAGCATACCCCTGAGCTCAGTATCATCGTAGTTCTTGCCATCGTGTGCTTCGTCTTCTTCGAGCAATTTATGTTGTCTCTCGAATCTGGCTAGCTCTTCTTTTGTCGAGATGCGCGAGATCAGACGCTCGGGTCCGCGGCCGGATGTATCTTGTTCGTACCATGATATTGCGGAAATTCCGGATTCGTTGAGGACGCCTTCGCGAAGGGGTTCGCGTTCTTTGCGAGCTTTAGGTGCGGCGGATTGGACGGTTTCGTTGCGGGCGGCGATGGTAGGAATACGGCGCGCAAGGGAGCATTTCCGAGGAAGAGGGCGTGACAGAGAGCGTAAGAGAGCGGCAGAGGGAATATATGCTCGAGATGGGGCCATTGCTGGGGTTGTCAATGCGGGAACGGTGGTTAAGATGGAGGGTCAACTTTTATGGGTGTGCAAACGGGACAAACTTCCATCCCTCTTGGCGTTCGGAGGTGGCCTCCATTATCACCATCAACCATTAACTACACCAAGACATATCAGTATCATACGTAACCGATGCATATCATATTGAATATGTGAATTCAGTGACTGGGCCCCCATTGAATTTATATCAACCTTGCTCTCGTTAAATACCGCACTGCATGATTGCTCTGAGAAATCCTATGCCTAATCGATTGGATCCATAGGTCGAGTGGGGTGATGATTGAATTTACCAGTGTTGACGCCTGCAAGGGGAAAGAGCGATAGAGTTCTTAATGATTTAGAGCCTAGCTGGCAGATAATTGATTTAAAAGATTGTAATTTTACAGCATGAGACTAGTGCGAATGCGGAGCCGGTTTATTACTTAAAGCTTAGTTATAAAATTTATGTCTAAGGGTAATCAAAGAAATCTAGTACTGGATGTCGCTACTACACGCAGGGAAGGTAGCCGACCGCACCGGCTATACCCTCTGTTGAGATGTGAATAGATGGGACTAGGTGAAAATGGCTAATGGAAAGACTGAGCCACATGTGGCGGAACCCAGTATCCCAACGCTACTTGATTATACGGACGTAACCTGTTCGTGATGGGCCGCGTCGGCTACCCTATCCTTATTTTTGCTGAAAAGTCGCGGCAGCAGCTCCACGGGACGCGTCCTGGCCGCCATTAAGTTCGTCCCCGCCGCCCACCCCATCCCCACCATCGCTGCCATTGCTTTTATCTTTGCGCACATAGAAATCTTCATTAACGTGTCGATCGCCTTCCGTTCGTCTAGATAGAGATTGATTGTCTTGAGGGCTCCAGCTGCTCCTTATCTGGCCCGTGCCCGTGGTGTTTACCTTCCCCAGCGTTGGCAACGGTAATTTTTATCGGGTAATTATCGGCAAGATTACTTTATCGCCGATAGCGATATTACTCAGGAATTTATCGGGTAATCTTGGCATTTACATAAACACTGTCACGGCCAGCATGAACCTATAGGCAATCGCAAGTGGTTGCGAGCAATAAGGCACCGTATTGGAGCTACTCTAGTATGAAGAAGAGAAAAGAAGAAAGAGTGGAAAAAGAGAGGGAGGCGAGGCTTTTATAGAGCGCTCTCAGTGCGCACGTGAAAGCGTAGCACGTGACTTACGGACGTAATAAGTGACTCACATGTGAGACACTTCACGTGACTGTGGAATGTGGCTGTAGCATGTGACGGGTCGTCATAAACACACTGCTTTTTAGCTTTTTCCTACTCTTACTTTTCAATCACACTAAAATGAGCTCAGAAATAGAGATTTCGTTGAATCTTGAGTCTAAACTCTCAAATTTAACTCTTCAATCCTGTTGTACATTTCCAATTCATGATTATACTTGTGAATTTGTTGGTAATAAGCTAAAACAGAATATGAAAGATAATCTTCT